ATTTGTTTTGTTAATAAAAGTTCTATGTTTTATATATACGCTAAAGTGAGTTTGACGTTGTATTTGGTTATTGCATTCAAGCAATTGACGCCAAACTGCCGCCAGTTCAAAACTGAAAGTAAAATGTGCACAGCACTTTTAAGCTATTTAAAAGCGAAGGAAAGCAAGGAAAAGAGGGAAAATTCAAACGAACAATTGCTTTACTCCGAATTGCCGCTATTTGAAAGTGAAAGTAAAATGGGCACACCGCTTTTACAAGCTATTTAAAAGCGAAGGAAAGTGAGGAAAAGAGGGAACGCCCCGCCCCTGCGGTGATACCGGTATTACCGGTGTTGTCACACGTCGATTAACCGGTGGGAAAATTTCCTCACCGTCACAACCCTAGTCCCTACCAGCCGTTTTTGTAGGCATTAAACTGCCAGAATTTTAAAAGATGATATCTCCGTTTGCATTGAACTTTCAGCTTCGTAACTTTGCAGATATTGTTTATGCTCAAACAGCAACATTACACACTAACTAACGTTAAAAAAGTGAAATCGCAATCAACCACCCCTTTAATAAAATTGCTTAGATATCGCTAGATCGCTGCATTATATTCCTCAGCAATGAGGCTTTAAAAACGCTGTTTAAGTAACTAAACTCACAGCTTTATTGTTTGTAGAGAGACCCGCAGACAGGTAACTCACACACACAACTGTTCGTTCAGGACAGGATTAAGCACTTACAAGACAACTGACACTGTCTTTACCCGGAGTCAGAAGTGATCTGATAGAGAGTGAAAAAGAGTAGATTTTATTTTATTATTTTTATTTGAAGCAGTGCTGTCGGAGAGGCGCTGTAAAGCTGGGAGGATTACGGAGGTAAATAAAGTGTGCTTTCAGACAAAGCCCCGGAGCACAGCATCAGGAACAAGGCCCACGATAAGACCCCTCCCATTTCTTATTTACATTACACACAGCCGACTTTTCTCCTTTCCGTGCCTTGGAGCACGATAAAAGAAAGAGAGAATTATGAAGGACATAAAAAATATGAAGAGCAGGAAGGAGGAAAAGCAAGAAAGAGGCTTTGCAGCGCTGCTTACCATTCTGTTTGGTAAACATGAGCTTGATAATGTTTTTGAGCTCTCGTTTTTCTATCCGACTTCCTGATTTGCTGTAGCTTATAAACGGTTGCCAGAGCAGGAAGAGTGATTTGCCGCCTGGTCAGATGAGGTGTTTACTTCAGTTGTTGATTTATTTTTTCGAATTTAATTTAAAAAAATGTCTTGACGTTTGCTTGTCAGAAGCTTCACTGGAGCTAATTGAATTATTAGTGTGGGAGAGAGAAGGGTTTTTTGTGTGTTTATTGCTTTTTTTAAATTGACTGCTGCAGAGCCAAAATATCCACTCAGCAAATGCAGCCTAACTGAATAAGAATTGTCACTGTTGTTCTCTTTTCACAAAAGGAGATAATATGCAGAATGACTTTTTTTGAAAGTCATTTACTTTTAAAGAATTAAAAGAATTAACTTTTATTGTATGGAACAGTTGCAGCTAAACTGATTGAATACTTTTATGTTCCAATTAAAATGATATAGTTTTTGAACGGCAAGGTGACACATTTATTTAGAATGAACTATTTGTTTCAATCTAAGTGTGACCCACTTCTTGGTGCCTTTAGCAGCATTGTGTGTGTGTATACACATCCTGTTTTCTATAAAAGATGCTTTTCTGAATGCATTCTAATCAATTCTCTCTCTCTCTCTCTCTCTCTCTCTCTCTCTCTCTCTTTTTTTTTTTTTGTATTTTTTTGTGGAGATTTTTCTGTGCCCTGGTGGTCG